GCAAACAGTGGGAAAATCAAGGTATTCCTGCTCCCCACACATGTCATGCTCTCTTTAAGCTAATTTACTTAACCTGAAGAATTGTCATACCATGTAACAGAGACTGCAGCAGCACAGGCATAATTGCAAAAAGGAGAGAATATTCTAAACTGGTAGCATCAAGTGCTTTAATAATAAAGACTCGTACACCCAGAAGGTAGACCATTGAAGCACTGGCTTCAGTAGCCATCCATGATGCTTACAGCCTCCCCATATTCTCTCCATTCTCTTTCCCGTTCTCATTTATGCCACAAGAAATTGTAAAAATTAAATCCCAAACCAGAAACAGAATTTAAAACAACAACAACAGAAACTCTTTCTTGATGTGTTGCTTTCACTCTGAAATAGTACATTCAATTTGGAAAGTTCTACAAATACCATTGCAGTGGCAGACCAGAAGCAAGGGGGAACTGTGATCACAAAGCATTTAAGACAGTCTTGCTATGCAATAGGCATTTCATGGAACTAAACAGAATGTGTGAGAGAACACAAGCTTTTCATTATGTCTTGATTATGCTGCACAGCTGCTAACATTTCCCTAAGATGATGCTACTTAATCAAAGTAGAACAACACAAAATAAGCAAAAAATAGTTCACATATTTCATTTGGCATGGGTCATCTTTCAGGTGACAATGTTTCAAGTATTGGTGCATCAGCAGAAAAACAACACGCTTGGAAGAGGTAAAACAGAAATCTTTAATTCCTAGGAACATGGGATTTTGTCAAGGATTTTCAGTTTAGAGTAGACTGAGGAAAAAAAAAAAAATCCAATTAAAAACGGTAATTAGAAAGTAGTTAAAATTAAATTAAAAAAAAAAAAAAAAAAAAGGCAATTAAATATATCACTGTTCAACATCTCTTAAAAGTTTAAAGACTGCAAAGTCTACGCCAATGCCCTAAAAGCATTCCCCTCCTCAAGGGTTGTCTGCCTGGGCTCCGGGCCAAGCTGAGGACAGCGCAGCTGCAGGCTGTCCCCTTTCCTTGGCTGACCAGGGAAAGGCTCCAGGCAGCACTGAGGCCCAGGGCTGAGCCCACTTCCTTCCTGTAGAGCTGCTTTCAAGCTGAGCCTCTACTGTTTGGCCTCTGCCTGAGCTATGCCTCCTGCTGTGATGCTGATGCCTGGCCACGGGCCCTGCTGATGCAGACCCCCCTGTGGGTGACTCCTGCCCAGCCCTGCCACCATGCTGTTTCAAGCTCACCTTTACTTGTAGAGCTGCCAGCCCTCACTGCTTTGTGACAGTCTAACCTCATGTGTTCTCTCAAGCATTTACGAGAGAGTTAAGTGATAGGACATGATTGTTAGTGGTCTAACTCCAACTGAGGTAACTCCTAGACAGCCACCTTGAGGAGAAGGGAGAAAAAAAAAAAAAAAAAAAAAAGCCAGAGGAAGTATAGGAGAGTATAGGATAAAACGTTTTTAGGTCAATCTGCATGTGTTGCAGACAAAATATTCCTTATGAAAATTTATGAAAATCAGGGTCCCTGGTCACATGAACAAATATGGAAAAGAAGCTGTTATCATTGACATGACCACTAACCTAAGAGGAAAACTTTTAATGCGTCTAGAATGTGACATAACTCACTGAAAATGCACAAACTTTTGACTCAGTTTTGATGGAATGAGAGGATATGAACCAAAACAGTAAAGCTTAAAGGGAATGAATTCTTTATGACAGCTAGAACTGTTTCAATACATATTGAAGTCACTTGATAATTGTGAAGATTAAAAGCTCTGGGATGAGTATTAGATTAATCTGGTCAGCCCTCAGTGCAAATCAAAGCAGATCTTCTGCTTAGACAGTTCTATGCACAAATTGTTCAAACCTGTTCAAGTCATGGAGCTCATTCTCAAGATACTGTCAAGTGACAGACCTGCAGACTGTGTCATTTCACTTGTTTAAAGCCATTAAAATGATCCACTGAAGTTACACTGCTATATGCATTTCCAATGGCTAGAAATGAGAAATTCAGTTGCTGTGGGATTGTATTCTGCAGAATCTCCGTCCTGCCATCAAGTTGTTTCCAGCATACTGCATTTCTTACTAGCTCTTCATCAACATGGACATAACACATTTCACACGGTTCTCCAGAACTACAGTATTATCTTTTCTATCAATATAAGTTTCTTGTGCTTGAAAGAGTTAACTTCTTTAATTAAGAGTTACTTTAAAAGCAGACTAAAATCAAATCAACACAACAACCTAGTACTTGACCTGACACAAACCTTCCAAAACCAGCAATTCTTGTTGGAGTCAGAGAATAGGAAAGAAACTCATATTTCTTACAATATGTAAGAAATTAACCTTCCACTGAGTATCATTTCATGTGCACCCATACTCTGACAATGGTCTATTCTCCTTTTATCATGAAGGAATTACATATATCTAGGGCCAAACTATCTGCTGGATCTAATAACTGCTGGGGTAACTGGAGACAAGGGATTAGAAGAGAACTGCTGTAAACTACTGGTATTTGGCTAGTTTGCAGAAAAAGCCATGTTTCTGGTAAACTACACCGGCAGCCAACAGTGCTGGATCCATATGCCAACAGGAATCATAGGAAAACAATGCAACTACAGCCACAGCTGCAACTCGTTCTTCCATTAAAAACAATTGGGATTCTGGAAAGCTGATCCCAAGCTTTTGCAGCATCGGTACATGTTCCCACACTAGTGGGGTTCTCATGCAGATAACCGTCCACACCAAGTTACAAGCAGGAGAAACCAGAGCAAAAGTGAAAAGTAAGGAAATGCAATTTCTCTGAGGTTGCTCTGTTCTACAGTATGGCAGAAAAGGTGGTAAGTAACCAAGTACAGCTACAAATAAAGGGAAAAAGATGGGAATGTTAAAGGGTGTAAGAAAGAAAGATAAAAGTTTCTGGAGCAAAGTGGAAAAAGCTAATTGTGTACAAATACACTTTATTAAAAGGGAATTCAGATGACTTCAGCTCAACTGTTGCAGTTGCATATGTGAAAAAGAACTTCAGAACTAATCTAAGGCACTCAGACAGAGTTAGCAAATTCCTGCAGTATAACTGGAACTGGGATGAAGTTATGTACTTGGTGATCAGCGTCGTCCTTAAAACTTTCACCACTAAACACTCGCGCTTTAAAGAAGTAGCTTTCCAGTTTAGGGGAGATTCACGACCAACTTGATTAACCATCATTCCTGATTTAAATTGACTAACACATGTGAATATTAAAAGTATCTGCAGCTTGATAGGTAAGATATGTAATTTTACATAAAGTTTTCAAGTGATTCATAGAGGATATGTGATTGTTGCCAATGAAGTGTGCTTTTCAGATAGATTCACTGCTTGCAGTCTCTTATAAATCCACAGAACAATGCATTTAAAGCTATGCAGGAGGACATCAGTTCAACAGACAGTTTCTTAAATGTAAAACAAACAATAGATTTAATTTCTACAATAACAAACAGGATTTACCATTGGTTCAGCAAAGGAAAAACAACAAGCAAAAGTTCTTACTAAAGCTGAGCCATGAAACACTTAGAAAGACAAAAAATAAATACAACAAATAGTTAACTTTTATCCAATAGTCTGGTAGTACAAGGGAAGGATCTGCAGATGAGGGCCAGGCTAAGTTCACAAGCTGTAATTAACATCTACTGTTTGCCACTGATAGAAAAAAGTACTGTCCTAGACGGACCACTGGCCTAACACAGGTGCATTCCATATATCCTTAAATCAACAGCTTGCTGTTCACACATTAAAACTCAGAGACTACACAAATGCCCACCTGCACAACTTCTCACAGTTACATCCTCATCATGAGACCCCACTATGAAAATGAGTAAACATAAAGTAAAGCTCTATTATTATTGAGCTACAGAGGTACTGCAGCACTGTGCTTTTGACGTTTTTAGACTGTGCTGTGCAAATCACTGGTGTTCCACAAAATACCCACCAAAGCCATACTGTACACATCCCCATGCAATCCCCCATCAATTAAGAAACAGAGCTAGTAAATTACTTCAAAGGTTAGCCCAATTTTAATTCATCTAAAAATGAAAAAAAAAAAATTGCGGTAAGTTACATAAGAGAGGCTTGTATATTGTTTTTCTACTAACAAAATGTAGGTTGAGGAACAGTAAACTTCTATTTCTCAGTATGTTTTCACACAAACAGTGCAATTTGAATGTGTAAGTTCAGTGCTCAGAGGATCATCTTAAAAAAAAAAAAAAAAAAAAAGATTAACTTAATGTTTCTGAGCTATTTCTCATCTCCTGACCACTCTGCAACTATACTGCTCACTGTTGTATCCTCAAGAATTTTATGAGAAATACTGAATACAATAGCACTAGTCTCACCAGGGAAACTTACATAGCCATGCAGACAGAAAAGCAAAGATAGCTATACCTTCATCTGAAATGTTTTGGGCTGAGCTTCAGGTAAGAATCTACCTCTAGGTACTTGACACTGCCTTCTTAAATAGGAAAACTTACTTTTTAATGCAAAGTGGGAAAAATGACATGGTTACGATTTTCTAATGATTTGTTTTGCTCATTTTTACTTTTACAAGATTTGACAGGTTAGGGAAAAGAAGTTGCCAAGATATCATAACATTATAAAATCATTTCAGGTTGGAAAAGACCTCTAAAATCATCTAGTTCAGCCTTTAAACTAGTATTGACAAGTCCATGGCTAAACTATGCCACTAAGTTCTACATCTACACATTTCTTGAAGACTTGCAGGGGTAGTGACTTAACATGGAAAAGGAACTCACTGAAAACCCCCAATCTTTATTTTGAAAAATATGTGAAATTATTGTACTAACTGTTCAAATTATATTATTTTAGAGTACTTCTATTTATAAGTGCACACACATATGACATTGAATTGCAGAAAAAAAATCTTATTTTGTTGAAAGGAATACTTAAACAGAAGCTCTGCCTTCCCCCCTTGCCCCCAAGCGTTTGGCTCAATTTTTTATCTCCTTACCAGCAATATCAGCATGAGCCCTTTTCTTCCTCTTCTGTCTAGCCCACTCATTCCCCACCTCCTCATCAGGTAACTTACTGTGAGGGGATAATTTCCAATGAGATGGAAGGCACCTGAGTGGGAGGAAGAGTTCTGGGGCTGATGGTAGAACAGAAAACTCTGGTCTCACTCCATAGAGTCAGGGGTTCAAGTGAGGCTATCTGAAGCAATGTGTGCTGACTTGGGAAACCGTAAACTTTGTTGGTGAGTTAGGACTTAAGCGTATCGTGATTCTGTACCTTTCCTTTCTCAAGGGAGGGGAGGAACACGTACAGTCTCAGACAGAGGACCTTCACTGTATTTTAGGTCACATTCTAGGTCAAAGAGCCAAACATAATTTTTATCTTTCTTCTGAAAAATATGAAGTCAACAATTCTAATTGCCCATTTCATTGCTTACTATGTTGTCTTCTGTATTTCTTTTCCCTAATGAATTGCACATAAAATAATCTTGAATTTGTCTATTTTTTAAACTTATATAGTAATTAAATATTTTAAAGTTGTAAGTTTAAAAACAGAGAAATTCAAGTAAAAGAAGACTTGGAGAAAGATTGGATTTAACATTTCTAAACTATCAGTATGATCTCTTCCTTCTAGAAACTAGTATATAAACCAGCTTACAGAGTATTTTGAAGTGGAACGGGTAATGTTTAAATACTTCCAGAGAAACAGATGGGTGAAAGGTTTAGTGAGGAAATATTTAATCAGAAGAGAGTTGGCAAATTAATCTGTAAGTGAATCCTTTGAAAAACAAACACAAAGTGGTTTTCTCAAATTAGTTTTGTAACAACCTAAATTCACATGACAGCAGTACCTTAAAAGCCTTCACCATAATGTTAACTTTCAAATATTTATAGTTCCCACTCTCTACATCACAAGAAAAATATTCAGTCTTATACTCTGGAGAGCAGGTATCACAGTGTCAGGAAACTCTACAGTCACTTTGTTACAATGCAGTAGCCTTGAAAAAGCAAAACATCCAGTGCGTGAATCCTTTTAACCTATTTTAGAAGAATTACACAACTAATAGGCAATGATTTCAGGTTGTCAACATTTTTTTCTTTCTTACCTGCTTCCACTCACAGTCACTACTAATTATTAATAATGACTTCTTAAATTATTATTAATAGAAATCTATTGATTGCTTTCAGGTAAAATGATTACCTGAAACCCTAGACAACTTTTCTTTCCAGCTTTTAGTGAGCTTATAATACACAACAGGTGTTACGGTAACCATACTTGTTCCTTTCCCTTTGATGTAACCAAGTGCCATAAGAAAACAGAGAAACTCTTGCCTGCATTTCTCCACAGCTATTAAATGACTTTTACTGTGTCCATATTTGCTAGAAATAATAATGCTCATTTACTTTCATTTACCACAGCTGCCTTCCATCTACTATACATTAAATTATAATTATCTGTGTAGTCTCCCTCTAGGAATTTTCCATGCACCATAACTATAGAGTTACAATAAAAAATAAAAATAATAAAATAAAAGATTTGGGGAAGTTACAGTATAACTATTGTAAATAGTGGTGGTTAACAAGTCTAAGATAGTATATTGCATTTTATGCTATTTGTTACATTTCATTTCAGAAATGGCTAAATACTTCAATCCTTGCTCATGTTGTTGTCAGCTCCAAACAACCTAAAGAGGAATGGTGTGCTCCTGTGATTACACTCAGCAACACATTGCAACTTTACACTAGACTTTACAATGGTTTGCATCCAGAAGACTGCCAACATAACAAAATGAAGTGCATCAGTATTTGAGGAAAGCAGATTGTTATGCTGATGTGTGAACTCACTGGAGTCCACAAGTCTCTGTGACAAATGAAACTTATTTCATGAAATTTTACAAGATGAAGCATCCAGCTTCAGTTCTGACAGCAAATGCAGTATCTTGCCAACTCTGGCCCATGATGTAAGGGCAATGCATTGGTTACTTCTGTTTCTACCTGCATGTCTACTTCAAAAAAAAAACAAAATACTTATTCATGTTGGTTTACATACATGTATATGTTTGCAAAGATAATAAAGAATTGTATACCTTACAACAATCTGTATATTCTGATATTTTTCAAGTGACAATGAATAGAGAAATAAGCTCTAAGGTGTTAAGGTTAGCTGCTCCACAGGCCAAGATGCTGTGATTATTCAGACATAAAAATTGGGTTTTCATGTAACATCTGCACACATCTGTGGCAGTTGCTTTTCGTGACTTGTGAAGACTGAGAAGTTTAATATTTAAATTTCTGATTAAAAAACTGTAAATTGTTTTAAAAGAAAAAAAAAAAACAAAAACTATATTCTCAGACTGCCAACTCTTTAGGGAGGAGGCCTTTTCTGGATTTAAGGAATGTAACGTAATTATTAAAAATCTTACAGGATCTGCACCACTATAAAATTTGGTATATCTTCTACTCTAAGCCTGACGTAATTTTAAAAATATTGATTTAAGCTTTTAGTACCAACTTTAAAGAAAAACTTCAGTGTTGAAAATGACAACCACAAAAATGTGTTTGTTTACACTTAAAAAATAGAAAAACACTGTAACTTCATTTGCCAGTATAGTTGCTATAGCTTCGCCCCAAAAGCACACACCTTATCTCTGATACAAATGTAAATGTGTGTTAGTGATGATGGTGAACAAGGCCATCTATACATGGTCACTTTTCTGGTGTGTGAAGGATAACAGAGATGCTGTTGCAAACTTGCTGTGAGTTATCTTCGTGTTCTTCAGGAAAGAAGAGTTATGCAGATCCTCAGTTTACAAGACTGAGAAATGTACAGGAGTCAATGATATCATAAGCAGTCACATTAAGCTTTTATTCCTGTCTAGGACCAATATCATTAGTTTTTTGTTTATTAAATTATGATTGTGCTTTAAAGTTGAAGCATCTTCAGTGAAGTATTTTTATTCTTATAAAACCAGATTTGTCATATTTGCAACCACCAGATATAGCCTCTGAAATAATAAGGTACAGAGAGAAACAAGCATAAAAATAAACAGTTTAATCTTTCTGAACAGTTCCAGTTCATTTGCAGCATATACATTCAGAAATTATCTGTTCCTAGCTCTTTTAGAGTATTCCTATTAGGTGAAACTATAAAACCTTAAAGTGCTGGTGTATTTAGTTTAAAATCCGAGAGCCTGAGCAGCTATTAATCACAGTTCTCCAAACTGTGGCCAGCTATGGACTAATCATATGTATGCTAACCTCAGTTTGACTTACTATACTGACAGCAATGTGGAAATATGTGATTTATGAGGTAAAGAAAGTTGAGTCTATTAGAAAAAAATAAATAAATATTTAGTCAAGCACACCACACTGTGGGCTAAAATACAAAAGACTCCTTCCCACTAGATTTTCAGCTCTCTCTGGATCAAACCTTTCTCACCCCAGCTGTCCACTCACACAGATCATACAAAATTGAGTTAGCCTAAATCGCAATAACCTAACACAATTTTAACAGAGAAAATGGGCTGTTTTATGTTTGCCTCTGCATAAGTCCAAATTTCACCCAGAATGTAAATCAGATCTTTTTATGACTCAGCTTGTTTCAGGCCATTACCTAATAATTTCTACCGCTGTCAGAGAGACTATGGAGCAAACAGATTTTGTCGGGGATAACCTAAACAATTTCTTCAGGCCCCTTCCAATCCTATTTTTCTACGCTCCTACAATTTTGGAAAGAGACTAAAATTTTCATACTGTAGCTGGAATCTGAACCAGAGCGTTGCTTCAGTACTCTGAATAGCACAAGTGGAGCCTGAATGCCAGCATCTAAGTTGACCATTAAACTCCATGACATACAACAGAGGAAATGTTCCATCCAACTCCCCTGTGTCCAAGCTGGAATTCTTGAAAATCCTGGCATTGTTTCCTTTTTCAGACAAGCCTGTTAATACTAGGAAACCACAAAAGCCCAAAGAACCACACAGCAATATGATTTGTAGTATATTTTCCACACTGTACAGTGAGTAAAGAAAACAGGACATAATAAAAGAGATGTTATAGTGTGTAAGTGTTTAGGCACAGACAGAGGAGAGTGGAACTGAACTTTTGGCTTGGATTCCTGGGGTAAAATAGGGCAAGTCACTCAAGTTAAGTCTAAAATACTAATTTTATTATTTTGTAGTACTTCCCTGCTCTTAGTCAATATGCTTTCTTCCTGTATGTCCTAATTCAATATTAAAACAAAGTTCATGTCATCTCTGTCTTGATCTTTCACGGAGCCACATCCACTAGGCACATCACTGCTCATTCTTTCAGGACAGCACCATCCAGAGACATCCAAAACCCAGAGGCAGAAAGCAATCTCAATTTGAGGAACAGTTCTAATCAGTTCTATTGCAGAGCTACCACAACACAACTGTATCATTTCCAGGACCAAAGCTAGTTATTCTATATGACTTTACACTGTATATTTCCACAAGAAAATTAAGCAGTGCTATCTGGGAATCTCAGGATTGTTATGCACTCTAACATAAATATAGATCCTTTGTAGTCTAGTTCTGCATCAAACATGGGAATAATACTGCATCACAAAAATAAAACTACCATCAACATTCACTAAGAAACTGTAGCACTTAGATACTAAATTATTATGAGTGAAGAGAGATAGCCTAGAATGAGATAATTGGGATAGAGTCATTCAAAAAATACACAGTTGTTTTGAATATGGTAATGATAGTCTTTCTAATGTTTCTACAAAACAAAACTAGACCTCAGTAACCAAAGGAAATCCATAGTACTAGAGATAAGAGATGGGTTCTCCACAAAAGTATTAAAAATTATTTCATCAATGGAAGATAAATGATCAGTTACAGGACACTAACATCATAATCTCAAAGCAAACATCACTCACCATAGCCTTTGGTTCCTTTAATACACTGAAGTTTAGTTCACAGTTAGAGGTGTTTGGTCTACCTCTCCTGCCTCTCAGGCTCTGGAAAAGGAAAAAAAAAAAAATGTAGAAAAGTTGCTGAAGCTGAGCAAATCTATAAAATAACAGATCTAGAAAATGCAGCATTGTGATCTAACTAGGCTCCATCTAGCTGTTGCCAAAGTCTTATGAACTTTAAAAATATAAGAGCAAAAGAAAGAAAATGCTAATGAAAGAAATATAGGCCTTCAGTATAACCCATATACATCTGACATAAGATAAAACAGCCATCTGTTTTCCAAGACTTCATAGTGCAACGTCAAAACCATAGGGTGGTAAACAGATTGATACAGCTCTGCCAGGATAGATTACATGGTGTAAATACCATGAAAAATATCACAACCTATTCGCACATCAACATGCCTTTTTCCATAGTGTAGACAGCTACAATAAGTAAACCAGCCCATCCCAATTGACATACTTCAGCAATTCTAAATCACAATTATACTTCTGTGTTATTGTTAAGTGCATAAAGAATCTTTTTATAGAACTGTTGCAAGACACAAAAAACTTCTTCCCTGAAGGGAAACTGTATAGTCAGAACATCTCGTTGCTTTTAGAAAGAAGATAATTACGAATAATATGATGGGAACTTTCAGAACATACTGCATCAATCAAGTTCTGCATGAGTAATTATAATAATGTTTTATAACATCATTAATTTTGTCTGCACAGCATGTCTCAGATTTCTGAAATACAAGATTTCTTCCCCAAAGGACATCAGCCCTCAGCGTAAGTTCTTGGTAAATTACTATGACTCTGCTGAGAACAACCGAGTAGTAAAGAAATATTTGTTTTCTGGACTAGGACTTGAGGTCATAGAAGGTATTGTCTGCATAGCTGGTTATTTTCCTACTGTGGCAACTGCTGTTTTGAAAGATTTTACAAATGTGCACAAGCTATTAGGTGTAGGGAGGCTCATGTCAGTAAACATTACAATTCTTTTTCATTCCAGTGTAAGTCCTGCTGCGTTTTTCTCTTTATTGTTACTCGTATGTGAATCTGTCCATTTCTTAAGGCTATATCTTCAGATTTAAAGTTATTTTTTCAATCATAATGTACATATCATAAAGAAAGGAATTAATAATTCCTCTTCAGAAGTCAACAGCCTGAGAATAGCTAAACTGTTATAAAAAATAAAATTAATTATATGTAAGGCTTAATTTCCAAAGGCAGATGTAGGAAAAATAAGGCACAGAGCTAATATGTTAGAGGTCCCAAAAAAAACTAATAGTAGATTCAGAAATGGTTACAGAGATTCAGATAAACATTGATCACTCCAGAATTTCATAATAATACTCTGAAGAAAAAGATACAGGAAAGGCCAGAGGTGGCACAGGTAAGATATACAGAAGAAAAATAACAGATACACAACAAAAACATGTGAGATAGCGAGAAAAGGATTAAAGAACTAATTACTTAAACTAATGACAAGCCAACCATAAGGAGATACCAGAAATGTGAGATTGTTGTCAGTAACAATTTGACCCTAAGACAGGCTTTAAGCAAGATGATCCTGTAATGAAGCGTTCAGTTTTCTGAAACAAAGCTGCTTCTGCTTACATTGCGTGGATCTGTCTTACCACACAAGTAATGTGGTCAGGATTACTAGCAGACATTCAGGATACTTGTGAAATGTAATTCCTTTTTAATGAGAAGTCATAGTAAGTCTTCCGTAAATTATAACTTTTTTTTTTTTTTCAGTAAAATCAGTTCTGGATTAACAATTCCACTGGAATTAACAAACAACATTTTATTAAACAAGAAACTTTTTCTTGTTATTCTTAAGGAGCTGATCTGGATTTTAATGAAAAACAAAACACTTAGTCAGAACTGTTGGCAATGCATTCAGTTCAGATATGATATAAATATATAAAATATATATATAAAATAGGACAAGGAGAAATCCAGAGATTAGTGAGGCCCTGACACAGGCTGCCCAGAGAAGCTGTGGATGCCCCATCCCTGGAGGTGCTGGATGGGGCTTTGGACAACCTGGTCTGGTAGGAGGTGTCTC